CCCACACACCCACACACCCACACACCCACACACCCACACACCCACACACCCACACACCCACACACCCACACACCCACACACCCACACACCCACACACCCACACACCCACACACCCACACACCCACACACACACACACCCACACACCCACACACCCACACACCCACACACCCACACACCCACACACCCACACACCCACACACCCACACACCCCCACACCCACACACCCACACACCCACACACCCACACACCCACACACCCACACACCCACACACCCACACACCCAACCACCCACACACCCACACACCCACACACCCACACACCCACACACCCACACACCCACACACCCACACACCCACACACCCACACACCCACACACCCACACCCCCACCCCCACCACACACCCACACACCCACACACCCACACACCCACACACCCACACACCCACACACCCACACACCCACACACCCACACACCCACACACCCACACACCCGCACACCCGCACTCCCGCACACCCGCACACCCGCACACGCACACGCACACGCGCACGCACACACGCACACACGCACGCACGCACGCACGCACACACGCACACGCGCACACGCGCGCACACACACACACACGCACACGCGCGCGCACGCACACACGCACACACACGCACACGCGCGCACACGCGCGCACGCGCGCACGCGGACACGCGCGCCCGCGCACACACGCACACGCGCACACGCGCGCACATGCACACACGCACACACACACACACCCACACACGCACACACACGCACACACACACACACACGCGCACACACGCACACACACGCACACACGCACACACGCACACACGCCCACACGCGCACACGCGCACACGGCTACACGCGCACACGCGCACACGCGCACACGCACACATGCACAAACGCACACACGCACACACGCACACACACGCACACACAACACACACACGCACACACACAAACGCACACACGCACACACGCACACACGCCCACACGCCCACACGCCCAAACGTGCACACGCGCAGACGCGCACACGCGCACATGCGCACATGCGCGCACGCGCCCACGCGCGCTCGCGCACTCGCGGACTCGCGCGCACGCGCACACGCGCACAAGCGCACACGCGCACATGCGCACACACGCGCGCACACGCGCGCGCACGTGCGCCCACGCGCACGCGCACACGCGCACACGCGCGCTCGCACACTCGCACGCACACCTGCACGCACACGCACACGCACACGCACACGCACACACACACACACACGCACACGCACACGCACACGCACACGCGCACGCGCGCCCGCACACGCGCGCACACGCGCACACACGCGCACACGCGCACACGCGCACATGTGCACACGCGCACACGCGCACACGCGCGCGCACGCGCACACGCGCACACGCGCACACGCGCACACGCGCACACGCGCACACGCGGACACGCGCACACGCAGCCAGGCATCCACGTACGCACGCACGCACACACGCGCACACACACACACACGCACACACGCACACACGCACACACGCAGCACACACGCACACACGCACACACGCAGACACGCAGACACGCACACACGCCCACACGCACACACACGCACACACACGCACACACGCACACACACACACACGCACAGACGCACACACGCACACACGCACACAGGCACACACACGCACGCACGCACACACGCGCGCACGCGCACAGGCGCACACGCGACACACGCGCACAGGCGCACACGCGCACACGCGCGCGCGCGGACACGCGCGCACGCGCACATACGCGCACACGCGCACACGCGCGCACGCGCACGCACCCGCACGCACACGCCCACACACACACCCGCACACACGCACGCACGCACGCACGCACGCACACACAAGGCGCGCAAGCACGCACGCACACCCCCACACGCACGCATGCACGCACGCACACACACGCACGCATGCACGCACAAACGCACGCACGCAGGCCCATTCGCCCGCACGCGCACACGCCTGGGCCAGCTGCCACGCGAAAAGCATGTCGTTAAAAATCCCGCGTGTTTGCGTGTTTTTTCCAGTGTTTCAAGGCTGCGTTGCCCCAACTACTGCAAGATTGCCCCAGCATCACCTGCATCAGCTGCGTCACCGGGGCAAGCCGGCAGACTCGCCAGCCCAAGGCTGCAGACCCAGAACCAGACACAAAAACAAGCCCTAAAACCCCGCCACAAGCAGATGATGCAGGTGATGCTCATCATTTTCCTCTTCACGGACCCCCCGTATTGCCTGGTCGGCGGTGCTTCGCTCTAGAGCCTTGGTTGACAGGACCAAGGGGGGTAATCCGACGCAGCCGTTGACCCCCAAAGTGTGGATGTGCTTGAACACAGGTTACGGCGTACTGTTCAAGGCGTAGCATGACCCTGCATTCTCATGTGACGATGATGGTGAGGTAATGATGATGATGAGGAGGCTGAGGATGATGACAATGATGATAATGACAATGGTTGCAAGGCAAGGGATGCTGGGATGATAGGTTGCGAGAGGATGCTACGATGATGGTTATGATGATGCGGATGATGACAGCTCTTGTCATCATCTTCATCCTCATCCATCATGATCATCATGACTATCATCCAGCATCATCCATCATCATGCCACCATTATCCACCTTCATGAATAATCATCGTCATCATCTTCGTCATCGTCAGAATTCGAGGTTAGGGTTGGAGGTTCGGGTTCGAGGTTCAGGTTGGAGGTTAGAGGTCAGCGGTTAGGTTAGAGCCATCGTCATCATCCTCAGCAGCATCATCATGAGTGTGAGAGATATCAAACTAAGAAGGCCAGACGTAACATCATTCCAGGCACTTGCAGGATGATGCTGGCAAAGCTGGGGGTGCAGAAGCTGCCTTCCAAGACCAAAGAGGCAGAAAATAGGCATCATCCAATCTTGAGCATCATAATCATCATCCTCATCATCATCATCACCTACATCAACATCATCATATCAATCGTCAGCTCATCATCATCACCATCATTACCATCATCATTGTCATCATCATCATTTTGATTCATCAACACCATCATCATCATCATCCTCACCCAGCATCATCTTGATTCATCGAAATCGGCATCATCAGCATCACCCATCATTATCCATCACCATCACCATCATGCTGAGAGGTCAGGGTGAGAGGTTGATGTTAGAGGTGTTAGGGGTTAGGGTTAGAGGTTAGAGGGCCGGGTTAGAGGTTAGAGGTTCGGAATAGAGATTAGAGTTAGAGGTTGGAGGTTTGTTAGAGGTTAGAGTTACAGACTGGGGCTAGAGGTTAGGCATCATCATTTTTAGAAATCATCATTTCTAGAAACTTTCCAGGTGTGGCGTTAAGCAGCAGTGGCAACGCAGAGGATGGTAGGATGATAGTTTTGTTGACAGTCCTCATCCTTATCACCATTATCTGGATGCTCATCACCATCTCTTATGAGGCAGCATTGGTAACGCAGAGGATGCTACGATGATAACTTATCATCAGCGTCGTCAGCCTTATCATCATCATGAGCATCGTGCCGTTGGCATGGCTGCCAGCCTGTGTGATGGCTGTGCCGCCTACATGAGCTCGATGCGATCATCCTAATGCTGCCTGCATCATCATGTCGCGGCCTGCTGAAGTGTTTAAGTATCGCCTACATTATCACGGTGCCGGTTGCAGCATGATTTTATGCCTTGCGTGAGCGTGGCTTCGGCTGCAGCATCATGAGGCGGCCTGCCCTAGCATAGAGCTGCCTGCGTCATGATCATGCAGCTTGCGTCATGCTGATGGTGCATGCGCTGTGATGGTGCAGCCTGCATCAGTACGATGCCATCAACGTTATGATGCGGCCAAGCAACCAGACTGCGCCAAGGGTTGCAACAAATGGTGCGCGGCTATTTGGGGTCTAGGCCGTTTTTTTGACATCGCTTCTCGTAAAAGAACAATGTTGGTTGCTGTGACATCTGCTTGCGAAACTAAATGAGCACACCTTCTTTGGTTCCTGTGAAGGATAATGTTAAAACAAATAGCCACCCCGAGAAAACAAACAGAACGGCCTGAAAGCAAAGATTCTCCCCCAGATGTTGTTTGAGACTCTTTCGTTTTCTCTTGTTCTTTTGGTTTTCCGTGCGTTTGTTTGCTGGTTTACTAGGGAAAAGTTACATGCACTTGCATGCGTGAAGGAGAGTCAAATCGAGCTTGCGTATGGTTTAGTTTTTGCACATGTCAAAAAACATTGAAACACGTGTGTTCGTACATTTAGCAAGCGCTGTGCAAAAATCACTGTGCACCCTTTTTCGGATGGCCAACTTAGTGTGGAATGCGTTTACCGGCCAGAATCTGCCCGGGTTTTGCACACACACACAGAGTCAGGATTCTGCATCTTAAAGCGCAAGCGTACAACTCAAGAAAATCACGATGTCAGGCAGCCTGGCGTTGAAAAAGTGTCACTTCACAAGCTATGTGAAAGGTCTTCAAAAAGCAACCGTCGGGCGGGACTACACAAATAATGTGCATATATTTACGCATATATATTCACATACATACATACGTATTGGTATATATACTTTCTTCTGTATAGGTCAAACTCATGTCCCTGTTCCGAGCTACTCGTTTAGAGCGCCCGCTGTGCTTCAGGTTCCTTCTTGAGCAACATACATCTGCTGACCGTGCCAGTTGTGTACAAAGACTTGGCAACAAAAAGGCGAGTCCACTTTGAACTGGCACACGCACCAACCACGCGAGGGTCGGGGCGATATTGAGCAAACTATTGTGGCAGCGTGTTTGTAATTTTCACATGGATACAGATGATATACCTCTCGCTTTGTACGTCCAGCTGCGGCTGGGCAGGACGCGCTGCGGGTTCACCCCAGTACGTATGTATATATATATATATACATTTTTGCACAGAACAGTTTTAGCTGAGTCCATATTTTACTCGAATTCTTCCTTTCAGTTGTTTTGTTTGGTTCCCTTTTCAGGAGCTGGGGGTGTTGAGCGAGAGCGCCGTGGCTGTACTGCACCGAAGCCTGGGGCGCTTGCGCCTGGGCGCCATGCTGCGGGCCTTACTCGAGCCGAAGAACGTGTCCGAGGAGCAGCTGCTGAGCTGGGAGCAGAAGGCGGAAATGAGAAGAGCCCACAGCAAGATCTAGATGCATCGATGTATACTTGTATGTGTATGATTGGTACTTGGGTTTGTTGCGTTTTCAGATATTTTGGCTTCTAGGCCAATTTCCTCGGTTGACACGCAGGCCTGCCCCTGGGCGGAAGACACGGACGTGTTATCTCCGGCGACTGGCCGGCCAGACGAGCGGGATCCACAGAACGTTGCGCCGGAGGCAGGTGATTCGTTGCCATGTAACTTCAGGATGCAGAGTTTTTTCTCCCCTGAATATGATTTTGGGCCCTTGCTAAGCTCACGGTGTGAGCTTCAGCTTGTGTGTGCTTGCGCGCTCATACAGCCGATGATGCTCACTTGTTGTTGCTGATCCAAAGCCCATGCTTTAGCTGCACCCAGGAGACATGCGGATCTCTGAATGTTGCGGCATGAGATCGACGCAAGTGCATGATTTTCCATCGGCTGGAAAGGAATTTTTTCGCTTAAGATTGAGGTGAAGGAGATCTTGCAGCAGATCCGCGAGCTCCAGCAGAAGACGGCGGAGAGCAAAGAGATCCAGCGGAAGCAGAGTGTGAGCAGCAGTCGGGTCAGTAAGATCTTCGAGAACCAGACCCGGCTCCGCGAGAACATCAAGTCAATGGAGCATGTGCGCACCGGATCTCTGCTGGAGCGCTACATGAATGACATGGACAAGGAGGAGAATGACCTCATAGAGACGCGCAAGAGGATCGAAGAGTTTGAGGAGGTCTTGGCCAAAATGACCACTGAGGTATCCAAGCTTACTCTTCAAATTGTCATGAAGGCAAAGAGCCTTCAGAAAAAGGTGAAGTGCTGAATGGGAAACTCCAGCCGAGCATCAATGAAGCAGTTTGCGATTGGTTGGAAACATATGGAATCAAGATGTGCCGTCCGGCCTTGTACAGTTGCTGGGCTTCTGCCGACTTGGCAGAAGTGTTGTTGTGGGCGCGAAAAGTGCTTTGAGCTGAGAAGAACGCGAGTTATCTGCAGTTTGTAAAACGAGACTCAATCATGTTGTCCAAAACACCTGGCAAGCAGATCCTTCAAGCATCCCATCTGTGATCCGCCAGGTCAGGGACTTCACCCGCTGCCGTTTGTCGAGAGATCGTGTCCATATGCTACATGAGCCAGGAGTTAATCGGCCATCTTCGTTCACAAGATGTTTCGATGCCTCCATCCCACACTCCCAGTGCAGCTTGTTGCAAACTGCTTGTTCTGGTGACGAGATTTTAGATGCACCACAACCAACCTGCTTTGACGATCCCAGTATACCCATTGTCCTCCCGTAAACTCAATATCGCCGACGCAATGGATGCTTTGCTGCTTTTGGTCTTTGGGCTAGCTGTGCTAATCGCTGCCTTCCTTCTGAAGCCGTGCCATGCTTAGATCCATGAGGAGAGCACGGCTGGATTTGACTGTTTACTCGAGGTATTTCGACTGGAGGTTCTCTTGCTGCCAATCCTTGGAATCCCAAGTTTCAAGGACTGTGCTGACGTCAGGAAGTGAACAGGACTGTGAGCTGAATGTCAAGTGAGGACATCCTTCCCCTGCTCCCCTGGTGAGCTGGTACCTCCCCAGTGGAAGGCCAATCCGAGTCCGTCAACAAAGCACCGGGCGTTTACTTCAGACTTCAGGCTCCGGAGGTGGCCCTTTCCATTGTGGTCCCTGCGTACAATGAGGACTGTGCGAGTCTGCGAGCAAGCAGTCCTTCCAGATCTGAATGCAAGGAGTATCGAATCCCACAGATGCTGGATGAGACGCTCAGCTATTTGGAGAGTCGCGGCGCAGAGTTCTCATACGAGGCCGGGGCAAAGTGAGGGAGGTGTGAAGTTGTGACTCAAAGCACGACTTCACGACTCCCGCCAGGTCATTGTAGTGGATGATGGCAGCGAGGATAACACGTATGCAGCTGCTTTGTCGACCAGCAGGCACGCGGCGACGCGGGGCTCAACGCGCAATCAAGTACATCTCCGAGCAAGCTGGCACTTGAGACACGATAGGTAGCTGTATGTGCCAGGGATGCCTCGCTCCGTCATGGTGAAGTTAGGGTCATCCAGCTGCTGTATAACCGTCCGCCTTGGCAAGTTACGTTTTTGTGGCGTTGTGGGGGGGGTTGTATGGGGTTGGATGCCAGGAGGCAAGGGCTTTGCCGTGCGCGCGGGCATGCTTGCTGCGAGAGGCCGGGGCGGAAGGGCAGGTGTCTAGTCGGGGCATGGCATGGCGCTAGGGCAGCTGCTGCTCATGGCGGATGCGGACGGCGCCACGGGCATCCGGGACTTGGAGCGCTTGGAGAGAGCCCTGGGCCCCAAGGAGCCGAGAGAACGGATCGAAAGGATCGAGCAAGAATCGGAAGCGATGTGCGCGAGGACGAAGCTCCGCAGATCGCCTTCGGCTCACGGCACCATCTCCGCGAGGAGGCGTTGGCCAAGAGGCGGGCGAACGGCATCTGGAGCTCGAGCATCTCGAGCCGGCTCTGGAGGGCCTGGTATCGGAACGTGCTCATGGTCGGCTTTCACTGTGCTGTTTGGCTGCTGGCCTAGCCCCCAGCCCCCCAGCTCATACCCAAACAGGGACACCGAGAGAGCCTGAGGTGGGAGGAACCGTGAAAGACACCCAGTGCGGCTTCAAGCTCTTCAAAGCCAAGGCGCAAGCCAGCAGCGACGTTGATTCCCATTGGCTGCGTCCAAGGTGGGCAAGAGGATCTTTTCATCGCTGCACCTCTACCGATGGGCTTTCGACATTGAGGCCGTGTGCGCGCTGTTTCAGATGCGATGTGAGACGCGTTTCCACGCGTTCTGCGCGTGAGGTGCTCATCCTTTCTCACTTTTTCCGAGCGGGTTTGGTGGAGGCATGGCGGATCTTCCACGAAATTCTAAGTGAAATGCCTCAGGTTCCGGTGACTTGGGTGGAGATGCCGGGCTCGAAGTGCGCTCCTCGATTGCCTCGATTGTCGCGAACCTTTTTCATTTGCCTCGCCAGGTTGAATCTGCTGACGGGGGCTCTCACCATGCTGCGTGACATGGCACTTGTTCAGGCGCAAGATTGCTCTGGTTGATCGGCGGCATACGTTGCACCATGGTCCATGCTGTTGAGACACGGCAGGCGCTCTATGCTTTTGGGATTTGGCAGCCCTCGGTTTTGTGAAGCCCTCGATCTGCGTCCACGGTTCTGGCCTCACAGAACCGAGTTCTATATAGTGATTCTCATATCTAGTCTTGAGCTTCGCTGAAGAGTTGCTCATCAGATGTTGACTCACAGCACCCTGACATGAGCGATTCGCCGCCGATCGCGGCCAATGTTGAGCGGAAGCACTGAGCCGAGAGAGCTGGCGCCCGTAGAATCAATGCAGTGCGCAGTCTGTCCCGGCCGGCAAGAGCCAAAGCGTTTGCTTCGCCAAGAGCCCTTGGCTCAAATGTGGGGCCTCAGCCACAGTTTCCATCTGCACTACTCAGCACTTTCAGCATGCGTGCCATCAAAGGGCCCCTACGAGGCCATAGTCCCTGGTAAGGTCGATCAGGGCACAAGCGCAGCTCACGCACTCATTCACATCCCACAGAGTTTCTATCTGTCCGAGCAAGATAGCTCCGAGTGACCGGCCACTTCGCGTCTTCGCGTTGCTCCCGCTCTCGGAGCTTATTTAGGCTGCCTTCGGGGGCTCGGCGTGACACGGATATGGGCTAGGCGGGACCCAAAACTGAGAGTTGGTTCGGTGACTCAGTCCAAACTTTTGGTCTCAAGTTTGGAGGTTTCGAATTTTTTGTTTCTGTCTCTTTTCCTCAGGTGACTGGAGTGGCTCGAAGCCTATGGGTCAGCCCCAATCCACCCAGAAAGCGCGCTTCTCAGGAAATCCCGGCAGAGCCAGGATTCAGAAGCTTCAAAGATGTGAGGACCATAGTTTGAGCGCGCTTCTTTTCCCCTCTCTCCCTTTTCCTCCTTTTCTCCTTTCTCTTTTCTCTCTTCGATTTCGCTTTCGCTGTTTGCTTCTCGTTTCTCTAAAAACGAGGATTGACCCTAAAAGTGACAGGTTTGAGTGAAATGACACCAAACCGCTTGCATGTATTTCTGACGCGGGAGGGCCTTCAGTGGTGCATTGGGTGCTTGTTTGTGCAAAGCGCTGAGGGTCTTGACTCAATCAGCATAGGGTGCGCAGAGTGCGCAGAGTGCGCAGGGTGCGCAGGGGCCGCATCACGCCAAGGGGAGCTGGAGAAGCAGAGAGAGGCGTGTGAATGTGATGGGCCGAGAGAATGCATTTCACCACCTTCACGTGTGTTCGAGAAGAGGCGTTCGCCATGCCACATCTGCCACCTGATCACATGCCCACATGCCTTGGATTTGGATGACATCGAGATGCGATCGCGGGACATTTCTCCAGGCTCGGAATGTGGGACTTGCTTTGGCTGTGGGAGCCACGCAACGGCTGTGGACTCCTATAGCCACTTTGGTCAATTTGGTCTGTGGGAGGTTGCGGCTCGGCCGCAAGGTGAATTCCGTTGCAAAGTGTGTGCAAGAGCGAGCTGCTGAGGCAGGCCATGGAGAAAACGCGTTCTTTGCTGGAGGTTGGGGCACGCGCACATTCTGCAAGCGTTCATTCTGCAAGCGTTCTGTCTCCTTTCTCTTGCCAATGCAGCTTGCTCAAGTGCGATGCGCCAGTCCTGACGGCATGACACAGATGCTTTCACCCCTTAGATTCAACGAAGCCACATCCCAATCCGGGCACACGACATGAATTCGGCTTGAAGGAGGGCCTTGCCATCTTGCATGGCCTGATTGGCGCGATTGGCCTGATTGGTTGACGATGGGCAATCAAGTTGTGAAGCAGAAAAATGAGGACGGATGCTTCAAACTTAAAATGGCACGCCTTGCAGCACCCCAGTGGTGAGTTTTGACTAGTTTCTGACGTTGGTTCTTATTTCTGCGGTTTATATGCGGCTTACCCCAGGCGCAGATCCTTTGCAAGCTGTAATCTGCCCAGGTTGGGAGTGTCCAGGGCAAAATGTGCCACCTAATGTATTGCCGGGGATGCGGTTTCTGGGCCACAGCGTTGCCAGTTTCTGGGCGGCGTTGCAAAGACTTTCACACTGGGCCTCACAGGGCCTCACACTTCTCGTGACAGCTTCGTTCCAATGGCTTCCGACAGGTCGGGTTTAGGTCGGGTTCAGAGGCTTTCAGTCTTCGGCGGTTGCAGACACGGAGCATTCGCCCGCGAACCGAGCCCGTTCTCGATTTCTGAAATTGCGACGTGGACTGCATCCATTGATTTGCAACTAATTGGTTCGCCCAGAAGTCCACGGATTGAGCTTTCGAAGGTTCATGCTTCATTAATGTCACCACAAGCATGGGCAGGAGTTGTGCGCGGCGGTGCATCGCGGCGATTTTGCGGCATGCCAGCAACATCTGCAAGCAGTGCAGGCAGCTGATCCTGGAAGCTTCTTGGCTGGCGTTGAGTTGTATTGGCTCAAGCGGCTCTTGCATTTCCTTGAACTCAGGTGCATCACAGGTGCTGAACGGGCTGTCGATGGGGATGTCCGCGCTGCAGTTGGCGGCCAAGATGTGTCGCCCAGACCTGCTGACGCTCTTGTTGGACGCCCGGGCGGACCTCGACGTCCGGGACCGCACGCAGTGGACGGCGCTGCACTTCGCCGCGCGTGCCGATCCGCACGCGCACTGCACGGACTGCGCGCGACTGCTGCTGCAGCGCGGGGCAGACGCCTTTGCAGCCACCGATCTCGGGAGCGCGGCTCTTTTCTCATTTCGATTGACAAAAGGCGTTGCGAAAGTTGCGAAAGCGGGGTGTTGGCTCAGTTTTGCTCCAGGAGCACGCCACTGGAGCTTGCCCGGCGTTCCGGCTGCACGGCCTGCGTGCGACTGCTGGAGTCTCACGCCAGCCTTTGGCAAGGCCGGACTTGTTCAACCGCATTGCAGGCGCAAGTTACTAAGGAACCTTAAGGAACCTTTCGTTCGCAAAAGCTCTGTGTTATGGTGGGCTCAGGATGTGTGGATCTTAGTGAGCAGAAGCTGCTGGTTTTTTCCGGCTGGAGCCGCAAGTGGCTGGTGGTGCTGCGAGATCGCAGACGCAACACCGGCCCGAGCCTGTTTGCTCGTGGGGACTTCCACAACTTTCTCAAGGAGGCGCAGAATGTCTTCCGGCAGCAGTTCTCTACACCTCCGGCCTCTCACCTTTGCCCAAACTGCTGCAAGTCCATCCCCATCCCGGACTTCTTGGAGAGCTTCCCTTGCCCCTCGCGATACAAGTGAATGAATGCAACACGGGCATGCCGCGATGCAAAAGCTTTGCGCAGCCAAGGTCGTCACTGCTCGAGTATGCTTGTGGTCCCAACATCCCTACAATTGGCTCTCTACGACTGTGATCAGGCAAGCCGCTTCAAGCCAATGCACACAGTGCGCGCACTGCATTCACGGTGATTCACATATCGAGGCTGTGGGTGCCATGCCTTCGGTTGTGGTCTTCGTGCCATCAGATGGCTTGGAAGTCAAGAGGGAGACCGCTGCAGGTGCCAGCCGCGTCGCTCGTGTCGCTCGTGTCGCTCATGTCGCTTGTGCCTTGTCCGGAGGCAATAATTGGATCCGGTCACTTCTGCCCACATCTTCCCGGCGCTATGGCCTCTCTGTTTGTGTCCAGGAGCTCAAGTTTTGCGGTCTTGGCCTTTGGATGGGTAGCCCGACGCCAGGAGAACGGTAGGTCGACGGCGCTGTCCTTGAGGTGCGTCTCTTGTGAGAGCACCACATGCAACGACAGAATTTGTCTGATTGCAGGTTTTCTACGCAAGAGGATTGTGAGCAAGTGCAGAACCTGCTGCTGAACCCACTTCTGCGGGGCAGGTGTCATGTTCCATGTGATCGCGCATTCACCGCTCTTTTCCCAGGGGGTTGGCCCTGGCTGAGACGTACAGCTCCGTGCTCGGAGGACCTGCGCAGGAGTCTGGGGGACGAAGCGACCTTGGGGATGTGGATGGAGCCTGTGAAAGGTGCAAATTTCTGCAAGGGTGCCGGAGTATTGACCCTCATGTTTGAGCAAGTGCTTGCAGCTAGGAGGAACTTCCCACTCCTTCTGCACCGCCTGCCGAAGACGCTGCTCGGGTGAAGGATTGCGTCACATGCATTTGGCTCTTGGATGCGTTAAGGTGCCGGAATCTGCGCCAGAGGGACCTGCGGAGGTGCCAGCGGAACGCAGGCGTGAAGGATCGTGCGAGGCTCCGCAAACAAATCAAGCTCCAGACGAAGGGTTTTGCGTGGCTTCTTGGCTGGACTTTGGCATGCAGTACCTGGCAGCATTTGCAGCTGGAGTAAGGTTTGCTTGGAGCAGCCAGCAGACACGGCCGTGGTGCCATGCATCCCGGCTATGCTTTGTCTTTCCTGCCGCAAAGCCACATGAATTCCAGTTGAGGTGGCCATATGTGCGGTTGCCACCGCTGCATGAATGCAATTATGGAAGCAGAGCTACTTGGCGAGGTGAGCATGCAGTGTTCAATTGTTCTGGCTCTGAATTTAGGCGACTCTGCCCAGTCTGTCGGGGTACCGCGTCTTCCATCATGCGAATCTACCGGCCCTGAGTGACTGGCGTTTTCAAGCTTCGTGGCACAATCGTGGCACAATGTACAGATGGCAAATTGCCGGCGTGCATCAGACAATGCAACAGCCTCGAGACATTCGACGAATCTGGCTTGGGTGTTTTCACTTCCATTGAGACTCAGGGTCTCCATGTGCCCCGCTGTTGGGACTGGTGTTTCTAATCACGGTCCGAAAAGCTTCGGATTTGCTCAGGGACTTGGACTCGACTCAAGCTCGCCGTGGAGGGCACCGAGGCGCCAGCTTTGCCATCGAGCAATCGGCGTTGGCGTTTTCCGTTTTCGACAGGCGACACCTGCGACGAACCGGGCATTTGGCATTTGCCGAAGTCATCGCTTCAGGATTTTGGCGCGCTTGGAGACCTTGGGATTTTCGATGATTTTTGATGTTTTTCGTGTATAGTCTGTATAGTCGCATAGCGACATCCGAGGCTGATGCAATGATTTCTCGACTCGCATTGGGATCGTCGGTCTTGCGTCAAAAATTCAATGGAGAGATTCCGAGCTGAGCCAGGTTGGAAAGTCACATGAAATTTGCCAGCTTAAATGCAAAGTGCTTCACCACAAGCTTCATTCAAGTGCCTCGTGCTGTTGAAGCGGACTTTGCACAAATTGGCTTCGACCGGCTCACGGGAATTCGAGTGGTCGCAAGACCAACCTGGCGAGCCGTGCCTATCGGGAGTTCGAGCATTGCGAGCACTGCGAGCTATGGCAAATCATGGCCATCAAAGCCCTTCGAGCGGGGGACGGCGGGACGGGGGGACAGGGGGACGGGAGAGACCTCGTTTGTGGCGGAGCCGATCAGCGGAAGCGTTGCAAGCACCGAGACACGGTGCTCAGTGCCCTTTGCAGCGGCCAAAAGCTCTGAGGCTCCAAGCGTAGTTTCAGAATCTCCGAATGTGGGGCACGCATTCTTTTAAGGCAGGCAGAGAAGGCAGGGCAAGTTCCGCGTCAATGGTCTAGCATGCGGCTCAAGGCCTTTATGAAGACTTGCACGACGTGCACGTGCGCTTGAAAGCAAGAGACGGTCCAAGGAAGTCAGCTTACAATACATTTCCGGGCTTGTGATGGACCCACGCCACGGAGGCCGCGGTTGTGGCAATCGTGGCAATTGTGCGTACCAGTTGCCTGACAGAGCCACGGATCGACGGATCGACGGATCGACGGATTTCTTGGAAGTGACGCTTCGCCTTGGCGCCTTGCCTAGAGTCCCGCTGTTTGGCTCGAGCCTGTCCCATGACAGTGCACTCGGTGCACTCGGTGCACTCGCGCTTGCTGGGGAAACCTATGGACACTGACACTCGAACCTTCGAGGTGGGAGAGAGTCCGCATGTCCGTATGCGCGTGCTACCAGTGCCACCAGTGCCAGTGCCAGGTAGACGACCAGCGAAATGGGCCAGGCAACAGACGGCAAGCGTGTCCGCGTGTCGAGCGCCCTCGCAGGCAAGAGATCTGAGCTGCTTGCCAGCCTCCTCAGAGGTCTTTTGCTGGTGGCAGTTGTACTGTTTGGCTGCGCCAACAACATCTCCAAGCAAATTGCCTCCAAGCCCCTCAGGCGTTCCAGCCTCAGGCAAGCCTGAGAGACATATGGAATGCGACATTCGCCGGGTCTGCAGTGGGGAAACACGGACAGATGCATGACCGTACCTGTTTCTTCTTGAAGAAGGGAGGTTGTTCTTTGTTTGTTTTGTGCAGGTGTCGTGTTCGCTCCCTGGGCGCTTGGCTTATGCTAGCGGAATCAGCCAACAACCCTGTCTGGGCAGCACACAGCAGGTGCAACCGCCGCTTTGTCCTTTGTATCCATCAGTTCCTGTTTGGTTGGTCGCAACTTTGCTTTGCTGTGAAAATGAGATTGCAGGGGGTTGCAAACCGACGCATGAATATGAACCAAACCACGGAAAGACGAGTTGAATTGCCGAAGGTAAGCAAAGAGTTGAGCAAGCTGAGCAAGTCGAGAAAAGTCATCGTCGAGACGTTTTGAAAAGCCCGCGCCCAGCCTCCACAAAGCAACCCCAAGTCCTCAAGTTTTGGTCCTTTTGTTGCGTGCTTTTGTTGGCATAGCTTTCAGTTTTAGTTTGGTTTGGTCTTGGGTTGGTTCAATGGATGGCCATGTTTGGGGAAAGCTTGAACGATTTTGGGTTGGGTTCCGCTCAATGCGCTTTGCTTGTGGGACTTCCAGTTGCTTGGGACGGCAGCCATCGCTGTAGTCCCGACAGGCAGTCTACACCGTGAGTTCTGGCGATAGGACAGAATTCAAGTTCGGGCGAGTTCGGGTTTAGATCCCTTCCGGCTCAAGACGAGTCAGCCGTGGTTCGCATTCGGTTCTTGAGTCAATTGAAGTAGGAGACCGTTTAACCAACCTCAAGGTGTTGAAAGAGAAGCCAGCGGAAAGCGTAGATGTATACAACTTCGTTGGAAACGTGTTGGGAGTTGCTGGACACAAAGGTGGAATCACGTTTTTTTGGGCCCAAGAGTTCAAAACTGGGCCCCAACAAGGGGCGTGCCCACGACTGGCTTCGGCACTGCATTGAGGTTACACCTACATGCTGGGATTGTCAACTGCCGTCGCCTACGTTCCGTTGTATTGGCTTGGGGCCGAGATTCTGTCTTGCGCCTCAAGCACCTCTGACTGCCCTTTCAATTTCCGGCCCTCTTGCAGGTTGATGCTTCCTGAACTTTAGAGCCTCCGGCTCAGTCCGCCGACATTGTCCTCTCCCTTTTCTCCTTCCTCCTCTCTCCCTTGTCTCCCTTGTGTGTTCTGTTGTCCTCTCTCCCTCCCCACCCCCCCCAATCTCCCTCTCTCGTATGTATGTATGCATGTACATATGTATATATGCATGTTTGTATGTAATGTAAGTAAGTAAGTAAGTATGTATGTATGCATGTATGTATATATGTATGTATGTAATGTATGTAATGTAATGTAATGTAATGTAATGCAATGTAATGTAATGTAATGTAATGTAATGTAATGTATGCATGTAATGTATGTATGTATGTATGTACGTACGTACGTACGTATGTATGGTATGTATGTATGTATGTATGTATGTATGTATGTATGTATGTATGTATGTATGTATGTATGTATGTATGTATGTATGTATGTATGTATGTATGTATGTATGTATGTATGTATGTATGTATGTATGTATGTATGTATGTATGTATGTATGTATGTATGTATGTATGTATGTATGTATGTATGTATGTATGTATGTATGTATGTATGTATGTATGTATGTATGTATGTATGTATGTATGTATGTATGTATGTATGTATGTATGTATGTATGTATGTATGTATGTATGTATGTATGTATGTATGTATGTATGTATGTATGTATGTATGTATGTATGTATGTATGTATGTATGTATGTATGTATGTATGTATGTATGTATGTATGTATGTATGTATGTATGTATGTATGTATGTATGTATGTATGTATGTATGTATGTATGTATGTATGTATGTATGTATGTATGTATGTATGTATGTATGTATGTATGTATGTATGTATGTATGTATGTATGTATGTATGTATGTATGTATGTATGTATGTATGTATGTATGTATGTATGTATGTATGTATGTATGTATGTATGTATGTATGTATGTATGTATGTATGTATGTATGTTGTATGTATGTATGTATGTATGTATGTATGTATGTATGTATGTATGTATGTATGTATGTATGTATGTATGTATGTATGTATGTATGTATGTATGTATGTATGTATGTATGTATGTATGTATGTATGTATGTATGTATGTATGTATGTATGTATGTATGTATGTATGTATGTATGTATGTATGTATGTATGTATGTATGTATGTATGTATGTATGTATGTATGTATGTATGTATGTATGTATGTATGTATGTATGTATGTATGTATGTATGTATGTATGTATGTATGTATGTATGTATGTATGTATGTATGTATGTATGTATGTATGTATGTATGTATGTATGTATGTATGTATGTATGTATGTATGTATGTATGTATGTATGTATGTATGTATGTATGTATGTATGTATGTATGTATGTATGTATGTATGTATGTATGTATGTATGTATGTATGTATGTATGTATGTATGTATATGTATGTGTATGTATGTATGTATGTAATGTAATGTATGTAATGTAATGTAATGTAATGTAATGTAATGTAATGTAATGTAATGTAATGTAATGTAATGTAATGTAATGTAATGTATGTATGTATGTATGTATGTATGTATGTATGTATGTATGTATGTATGTGTATGTATGTATGTATGTATGTATGTATGTATGTATGTATGTATGTATGTATGTATGTATGTATGTATGTATGTATGTATGTATGTATGTATGTATGTATGTATGTATGTATGTATGTATGTATGTATGTATGTATGTCATGTATGTCATGTATGTCATGTAATGTAATGTAATGTAATGTAATGTAATGTAATGTAATGTATGCATGTATGTATCCTTGCACTTCCCCTTTGCTCCCCAGTATTTTCCGCAAAAAGCACGGTTTTCCTGCGTTTTCGCAAAGAGGACGACCAAAAACATTGAGTTTTTCCAGATTGCAAGAAGCCCAAGCCAGCCAAAAAGCCGGCAGGGGGAATCGAGCCTGGGACCCCTGTTTTGCGACACCGGCTCCCCGAAGACTACGTTTAGTGGAACGTGTTCAAATTGCCGCGCGGTACGCGGGGGAGGGGGGGGGGGGGCGACCGAAAAACCATGCGTATTTGACGTGTCCCGGGGGGGGACTAAGGGGGGGGTTATCCTCTATCCTCTCTTAGGTATCCAATAGTCCTCTCTTAGGTATCCGACACGCCGAACAATGTCGGCGGATTTGTAAGCAAAGAGACAGTGACGTATACTATGCATGTCTTGTGGGACATGCATGCCCTAAGCCGCATCGACTGCGGCAGAGGAAACATTGCAGTATTGACATCAGCAGCCATGTTTTCGCTAGCGACAGAAGGTACATCAACTGCATGAGCATTTCGGGCGGTTTGTGTCATTTACCACGATGCTAAGTTGTCTTGTGTAGAAAGTCGCAGTTATTCTCACAGAAGCATGAGATTAATAAGTATAGATAAGGCGAGTGGTGGCACTTTTCCTGAAGTAAGAAACACTTTACTTTCCTAAGTTGCCACACGTGAGTAGCGGACATTCCAAGTGAACAAAGAGTTGTTCACCAACTTTGAACCAATGCCAGCTGAGCCCACCGCAGGAAAACATATCATGCCGCTAGTGCCAAGTATGTTTTGCAATTTGGCGAAGCTCAACAAAGCGGTTATGGAAGCTTGAACAGCACATGCTAGCATGATGACTGTGATGATAACTACCATCGTAGCATTTTCTGCATCTCCAGTTGGGCCTAACGGCACACTTGAAATGTAGATAAGAAAGAATAAGAAAGAAATGATGATGACGATCTTGATGATGATGAAGGAAGATGACCATCATGATGATTATGATAAGCATGATGACTGTGATGATAACTATCATCGTAGCATCCTCTGCATGCTGAATTGGATGTTGATGAAAATAAGAATAAGTGTAAGAATATGAGTGGTGATGACCTTCGCATCATGAGTGATGACGACCTTCACATCATGATGATGATAAGCAAGTGTGAATGTGAAGAGTATGCGAAGCGTGACCCGTAACCAAGCTTAGGGTCGCGCCTTAGACCTGGTCTTCCAGAATTTCTGTGGGAAAGGCAAAGTGCTAGAAGAAGAGATGCATAAAGTATGAAGAAAGTCAGACGAATATATGAAGACAAGTGTGAATGTGAAGAGAATGTGAAGCGCGCGTGACCCGTAACCAAGCTTGCGGGTCGCGCCTTAGACCTCATGTCCGCGCATGGTTCGCATCTCAAATCGGATGAAAATCATCATGACGCACCCCCAGCATCACCAGTAAGCATCACGACGCATCCTCAGCATCACCAGCAGTCATCATGATAGTCATGTCCACGCATCTTCTGCATCTCCAATGGACACTTGAAACGTATACATCATGATGATGATTTGCAAGTGTGAATGTGAAGAGAATGTGAAGCGTGACCCGAAACCAAGCTTACGGGCCGCGCCTTAGACCTAGTTTTCCAGAATGGCCGTGGGAAAGGCAAAGTGCTAGAAGAAGAAGAAATAAAGTATGAAGAAAGTCAGAAGAATATATGAAGACAAGTGTAAATGTGAAGACAATGTGAAGCGTGACCCGTAACCAAGCTTGCGGGTCGCGCCTTAGACCTGGTCTTCCAGAATGCTCGTGCATCGGATATTGATGACAAGTCGGAAGATTAGCATCATGACGCATCCTGAGCATCACCGGGAGTCATCGTGAGAAGCGTATGGTGATGATGATGAAAGAGATGATGATGACAATCATGATGATGGTGATTGATGTTGATGATAATAAGAATGATGATGGTGATCGATGTTGATGATAATAAGAATAAGATTAAGAATAAAAGTGATGATAATGATGACGAGCTTGCTGCCACCCTTCCCGTGCGCCTCCCCTTACAAAGGGGTCGGCGGATATATACATGTATACATAGATACTTATGTACATCATATGTGCGATTGTGTGCGCGTGCTGGCTGGATGCAGTTTGAGCGTGCGTGCCTGTGAGCACTTTTCACTGAGGCTTATCCTTTCGCTGCTGGTTCGGTCGGGCGTTGCCCCCCGCTTTCAGTTGAAATGGGTTTGGCAGCGGAACAATGCCAACGTGCCGGTAGCTCTTCTCTTGGTCATCGCAGCCTTGGGTGCCTCGGGCGCCTTTGGGAAGCCCTGCTCGGTCTCTGACATGCGCTTTGTGTGCGCATGTGACCGATTCGGGTCGGAGCCAGGCGACTCCATGGGAGATGTCATTGGCGCAATCTGTACACCCCATGTCTCTGGGCCTGTTCACAGCCTCCTCTCAAATTGCACACCCATCTTCATCGCGTCTCTGTCCATGTGCAGGGCTCAGACGCCAGCATGCCCAATGCGAGCCGAGACGTGCACGAGGTGCCTGCTACATCAGCGCTACTCGCTGTGGCAGTCTCTTGCGCTGATCGGGGCGGCCCTGTCTACGTTGAGTCGAGGGAGTGCACAGTGCTGCACAGTGCTGCACAGTGGGAGTCGTGAGATGGCCAGGTCCTTGTGGCTGTGGCAACTTGGCAAGCGGCGCAGCCGGCGCTCTCGCTTATTCACTCTCGCTTGGTCCGAGGTCATCGGTGTCTTGCCCTCCTTCCATTCCGGCAATACGAGCCCTTTCTTTGCAGTTGTTCTGGGAGGCCCAGGGCGTCGCAGCATCGAGGGTAGTGTCTAGCGTTGCGATGTCTTGCCAGGTAGCTGCATTTTCAATGCTGCGCCCTGGCGATGTTGAACACTGGTTGAACCCCCAGTTTGCAACAGTATCATTCGAGCTGAGGTCGCATTTGTTGTGAAGGAGCTGATCTTCAGCCGTTATCAGGCATGTTGCGTGTCGCTGGGTGTCGCGTGTCGCTGCGTGTCGCTGGGTGTCGCGTGTCGCTGGGTGGGGCATGTGGCTTGAGGCCTGGGCCACCGGTGAAGACCAGGTCGGTGGTCTGAACATTTTCGTGGTCAACGCGCACGAGGCCCTTTTCCAGCTCCCTGGATTTCTTCACGCGTTCCTGTCATGCCTTCCTTTTCACGTTCCCGGAAATGCCCGTTGGTAGATGCAGTCTTGGGGGCATGGTCCGTGTCCAAGGCTGCCTCTGACCTTGCTGTTGATTCCTCTGAATCAGATGCTGAAGCAGACCAACGGAGAAGACATTGGCACTTACTTGAAGGTGAGGTGGATTGAGTGTGAAAGGTGGCAGCAAAGGAAATGGAGCCAGGCATGGCTTAGCAAGGATATCATGCAGAGAATTGTCGCGGGACATGTTTGTGAAACGGTTCATGCCTTCACCCAGTTTTGGCGGATGTGTTTGGCACTCGAGGGTTTGCTGCTTGGGGCTTGGGGCTTGGTTCAGGAGGCAATGCTGTGTGTCTTCCAGGGACATTGTGATGAGCATGGTGACGTGGCCGGGACGTGCGTGGCTGTCTATGTAGTCTTCAATGTTGTCTGGAACATGACGGTGCTGCTCTCTGTGAAGCACACTGGGGCCTTGGCCACCTTCATTGCCCTCAAGGCAATCTTCCCGGTGACTCGGCTTCGGCTGAACCGAATGAAGCGCGCTCTGAGTTTGGGTTTCGGCGAGCTCGCCTCAGGTGTCGACCGTCCTCTTCGCTTACATCGATTGGCCCTTATTGGGCGAGACCGAGCTGTCCAGCCTGGTGTGGCTTTCCATCGTGCTGCTGCTTCCAAGCATCGCTTTCTACCAATGGTCCTCGCGGGAACAGGCCAACTTGGGGGGTTGCCTTCTCGCTTGCAGTAAGCTTGTGGTTCCGATTGTACAACTGCGATCCTCTCTTCGGGAAGAGGACACTTTGCAAGCGGCTTGCTCAACGAGCTTGTTATTCTTTTCTCTAAATGACGTTTTCAGCATACACCATTTCGAAAGATAGCACCTGGAAGGCGAAGCGCGTGGCAGAGCACCCGTCTCTTGCCAGCTGCTGCTGGCCGCTCTGTAGAGGCCCTCACTTTCTCGAGCCGAGGCTCGCTTTCTCTCTTTCGGATCCGACGCTTCAGGCCACCGAGACACGCTGCTGGGCTCCTGAACTGCCAGGGCCAGGGCCAGCAGGGCTGTAGCAGGGCTGTAGGGCTGTTGTGGCCCTTGTGGCCCTTGTGGCCACTTTTCTTTGGCCCAAAGTTGAGCCAATGCATTGCTCACTCGTGTACAGACATGGGCCTGCTCCGCGCCGGCTTGAGCGCGTTGCTTGCGCCCCCAAACCTTACCCTTGGCTCACCTGTCCTCTTTGACCTTTTTGACCTGGCCAAAGCCATCCTTTGTGCGTCGACTCAGGCGCTCATGGCGTCCGCCCTGTTCTCTTTCATTGACTCCATTGGAGAGACCTTTGAGGGAGTTGTGGAGAATGCTTCTTGGCATGTACATCCGGTGCATGCGGTGCATCCGGTGCATCCAGATCCCAGAGGGAACACGGGCACAATTGCACCGAGCATTGAACAGGTCGAGACTGTCGTTGGCAGTGTGGAGAAGGAGGCCTGCTGCGCATACGACGCATATGACGCATATGACGCATATGTTGCATTGGGCGCGTATGGCGCATATGACGCAAGCTATGCGCAATAGGGCATTTTCTTTTGTCATGCGCCACATGATAGCAGGTTGACTCGGCCATGCAGCAGATTGATGCCGGAGTCGACCTGGATGATGTCCTGGAGGACTGAATGCGGGTCTCAACTGTGCATCTCATTGCCGTTCTTTTTGAGAAATGTTAGTCCTGTATCGGGACAAAGGAGTTCCAACCTATTTCAATATTTCTTGCGGCTCCCTGAGGAGATCCAGCTTGCTGGCACTGACGAGGTGTGCACTCCCCAACTCCGTGCTCTTGAGACTTGGGGCGCGTATCATTTGCAAGGCGGCGCTTCTGCTTGCCTACAAGAAGCTCGAGGAGGGAGAGGGAGTCGACTTAAGCGACGTGAGAGTCGCGCGTGAACTTCTGAAGGTGCTTGCGCAGAACCAGACCGCAGCCATCCTGCACGGCTGGGTCGTTGAGGCGAGGGGGGTGGCCTGTTGATGGTTGCCTGTTCTGGTTCTTATGTTAATCTCAAATCTGTGTTCCCCCTTATTCGTTTTTAAAAGGGGTGTTTTGGGGAGCTTATTTATTGTTTTTGTTAAGGTACCCCCCTTGTTCATTGTTGGGCTGGGGGCCGACTTTTTTTTGTTTTGAAGGAGTTAGCCCTTTTAGTAGTTATCAAGTTCTGGGGTGTTGGTGGTGTATTTGTTTTGTTAGTGTTTTTCTCACTAATTTTCATTTATAGGTTAAAAGTTCAGTATAATTATAACATATAAGATTTTACATGTTATTATTATATTATGATTATAATTTCAGTTCAGGATAATAATTTAATTGATTATTCTTACTTCTTTCATACATCATGTTCAAAATAATGTTAACATCTCTCACTGTATTTTGAACATTAAACTTTTTACTTTCAATAAATAATTTGATATTTTCTTTAACATTTTCTCCTTTCTTTTGACTATAACCCAACATCCATAATATATCATTAATAATTTCATGTTTTTCTTACTGATTTCAAGCAACTGTTTAACATAATCGTAAGGTGGTATTTTATTTACAGTATTTTATTTACAGTTAGAACTATTAAAATATCATCTTCTACATTTCTATTATGTATTCTTTTTATTCCCAACAGACATTTGATTAAAAAATGATTATCTCCAATTTTTACAATTTTTTCATATGTCTTCTTCACCATCCATTGACTAGTTAATAATATTATTCACTATTTCATTAGGTAAGTTCAATTTATACAATTCCATATTTTCTTTTTTGAAGTGACAACAATCATAGCATTTTTTATTGATATAATTATTGATTTTATCACCGTTCATTTTCCTCTTAATATATAAGCTAACATTTCTTTAAGTAGTTTTGGCTAGGGGTTGCTGGTCGGCTGGTCTGGGTTTCAGGTTTCATTTAAATGTCTTAACCTTGTTGTTAGATTGTAAAAACTAGGTTTAATCATATTATAATTGAATAATATCATTAAACTAAATTACTCACGCTTTCCATCCACCTATTCCATCCCACCAGAATTCAATAATTCGCATCTGTCTATCTACTAGACTGTCTTCTTTGTTTAGTTTCCGTATCGCTCCTGATAAGATATAGTAGTTAATAATCATTGCTTTAAACTTTCCATCTCGATTTAACTTCTTACCACAGTCTTTTATGATGTCTTCATCTGTTAGGTTTTCATACATTTCTTTCATGATGTCAAACCTAACAAATGAGTATATTGCCATCAAGTTTAATCCGCTATTATCCCTAAACCTGCTAATGACATCTTTCCAAAATTCTTCGTTTTCATCAACTGGTGGCAAAGGGTGTCTTTTGATGAAATCCTTTTTTTTGTTTAACTCTTCTTCTAATTCCTTTCTATAACTGTCATTCTCATTATCTTCTTCGTTTGATAGCGTCCAGTTTGATAAGTCAGCAATCACTCCGACATTTTCTAAATTCAAGTCCTCTAATCTTATTCCAGCCATATTTTCACTTAATATAATAAGTTAATATTTCTTTAAGTAGTTTTTATTTTATGTTAAGGGGCGGGGTTTATGTTGATAAAAATATTTTCTATCAATTTAGTATAATGGCGAGAATAACAAAAGACCAAGTAATCAGCAACATCTATTACGACTTAGACGAGGGTTTCGGAAGCACACAAGCGACACACAAGAAGGCAAAGGAAGAAGACCCAACAATAACATTAGACGATGTAAAGTCTTTCTTAAAGAAACAACCAAATAAACAAATCAAACATTATAGAAGTACTAATTCCTATACCGCTCCATTCGCACGATTTGAATACCAAATAGACATAATGCATATGTCACCTTTAGCAAAAGACAAGAACGTTCCACAGTATGCTTTAGTCGTGATTGACATCTTCAGTAAATTAGCAGATGTAATACCGATGGAGGAAAGAGACGGAGAGCACGTTTTGAAGGCGTTGAGAGCAAGTTTTAAAAAGATGGGTTATCCGATGTCCGTATATTCTGATGACGATGGCGCGTTTGCAACTAAAAATCAAGTTCAGGATTTCTTCAACAGTGAAGGAATAAACCACATCGTCATGAAGACCCAGGCAAATGTAGCCGAGCGTTTTATTAGAACGATGAAAACCAAAATTCACGATAGAGTTAGGTTTAACAACATGAAATGGACCGACGCCCTAACACCAGCATTGAAACAGTATAACAGCACATCACACTCATCAACAAGGATGACACCGACCGAAGCACACAAGGACGACAATGAAATAAATGTAAAGGTCAATCTTAAACTACGAGAAAAAAACAAAAGAAAGTATCCCAGAATGGAGAAGAACGACAAGGTAAAAGTGTTCCAAAAGAAAAGGGGTAGTTACACCGACAGAAAGGAGTATAACTCTAAATGGTCTAATAAGATATTCAATGTTGATAAAATTGAATCTGATATTATGGGTAGTAAAACTTACAAAGTAGCAGGAATAAACAAACCGCTTTTGAGACACGAAATTTTGTTAGTTAATGATTAGACGTATTTCTTGGTGCCTTCTTTATACTTAACTTGATAGTAATCCAGACTTGATTGTTTAGGTTCTTTTATGACTTTTTCATTCAGCTTTTTAACATAAATGTTTGGTTTATTTTTGTATTCGCGCCTGTCTCTATTTACTTCTTTTGCTTGACAATTGTTATTGTTATTATATGTAGGTTTAATATTCATGCTCTTTAAGATTTTCAGTATGTTTTCATTTTGCTCCAACACTTTTTCTAATCTTGGAAACAACAACTCTAAACTACTGTCAATGTTCGCTAAATGTTCTTCCATATATATATATATACTAAATTATAAAACTAAACTTTTAAAACTAAACTTTTATTTTACAAAATCATATATGGTTATAAGTCAATTCAAAATTAGTTATTGTGTAGCTCGTTAAATTGTTATTCAATTTACCAATTAAATTACAAACAATAGTTTTTCTAAATTTTGAATATTTATGAAACTTTTCAATATTATCTGTAATATAAATTATTCAACATTTAATACATTCAAACACATTGGCAACATTCATGTTACTATTCTTGTAAATTTTATTCATTTTTCTCAATGTAATTTCATAAAACTGAATAGCATTTTTTCATAATTAGCAATAAATCTTAAGGTATATGAATATATTCTTTTACAATAACAATTTTAAATCTGGTTGTTCAAATATATCAGCATAATTAATAGAATTATAAAACATGATAAAATCAATTTTACTATTTCTATAGTCATTAACACAATTAATTAATATATCATTTTCGTTATATTCTTCAATAAAATTATTTAATTTCAATTCTTTTACATCAATGAATTTAATAATATTATTTATGACATCTTGCATTATAAATAATAATAGAAATAATTTTAACTATTATTTTTCATCATTTCACGTATAGTTTCCTGAGCTTCCTTATCACCATTATCGGATGGAGTAACTCCCCTCCCAAAGCGTATAGCAATATTATGAACATCTGTTTCTAAGTTGATACTGTCTTTAGTTTTATCAATATTCATTTTCTTATCATTCTTACTTGTTGGAATACACGAACATTTACAGTTTCCTTTGTTTTGTATTTGTAATTCATTCTTCATTTCTAACATCTTTTTACACATTGGACAAGCAAACTCAATAACTGATGTTTCTTTAACAATTTCTTCTTTTTCTTCACCAGTTGAAGAAACAACTGGTTCAGTCTTATTCTTTTTCTGTCTTCCCATCTATAAGAATATTGATATTTTTAATATATTGAATCACAAACTTAATTAATTCTAACGAATAATAACAGCATTTTTTGGTTTTATTATCAGTTATAACAACTTGTTCTATATTCTCTACTTTATCTATTATATCAATATAATCTGAATAACTTCTATTCATATAAAATAATAATATAAAATATTTTCTAAATATCTTTAATCTATTTTTTATTATGTCAGATGTCCCAATAATAAAACCAATAAGCATAACTGATTACGATTTCAAACAATCTAAATATGAGCACGTGCCAAAAATTACCATTCCGCTCCATCGTTGTAGCATCATCAACCGGTGGTAAAACAGTTTTAATCCAAAACCTTATCCTAAATGTTTTTAGGGACTGCTTCGCCCGTATATTCATTTTTAGCCCGTCAGTTCATAACGACCCTACCTTTGTTGAAGTCAAGAAATACCAAAAAGATAATATGAAGGTTGATGATGAAAAAGAAAAGTTATATTATGACACCTACCAACCTGAAGAACTGGAAGAAATAATTAGCACACAAAGAAAGATAATTCATTATATGAAAGAACAGAAGAGAAACTACATTCAACTTTAATAATTGTTGATGATTTTGCAGACGACCCTAAATTTGTTAGATATAGTAAGTTACTTCATGGACTGGCAACGAGAGGTAGACACGATGCCATTAGTTTTGTTTAAGCGTTCAAAAATATCGTGTCCTTGCACCAATCATTAGGTTGAATTCAAGTTCGTTGTATATCTTCAAGTTAAGGAATGTATCAGAGTTAATGTCATTCATTGAGGAAAACTCTGCCATTGTTGATAAAGAGCAACTGTTAAATATGTATCATAAAGTGGTAGACGATAAGCCATACTCCCTCTTGTATGTTAATATGAATTCCAAAGATGTTAATAATATGTTTTATGTTAGGTTGGAGAAAGCTTTTAAAATACAATAAATCTATTATATATTATAGAATGTTAAAAATGTTTCAAGAAAGAATATATGAAGAACCAGTAAGGTTTTTCGGCAATGACATACCAAAAGAAATTCAAGAATACCGGAAGCAAAGACTACAACAATTAGTAGAGTGTGAATGTGGTGAAACTTTTTAAATGAAGGATGCTACTAACCATATTGAAAGTGATTATCATATTACTTTTAAGGAAGAAGAAAGAAGAAGAAAAGAATTAGAAGAACATTTACGT